GTGAGATTTAACCATTCTAGTAGGTTTAGGTTGCAGATAAATTAGATGAAACTAGGTAGTCTTAGTACATCTATAGTTTGAGTCTCATTCTTGTAAACAATTTGTAAACTTAACCTATAATCAAAGATTTCCTTTGTGGATTCTTAATACAAATTATAATAAAGATAAAGGCAAAACCTCACCTTAATAAAAAAAATAAAAAATAAAAAAAATAAAATAAAAAAAAAAAAATAAAAATAAAAAAAATAAAAATAAAAATAAAAATGTAAATATTCAGAATTTACTTATGATGTATCACAGCAATGCTAAGGCATAGATAATTATGTTACTTTTTCAAAAGTGGCTTCAAGAATTTGATTGCCAAATTGGTTTAAAATACCAAAACCAGTATGTATTACTTCTTCTTGATAATTGCTCTAGCTATAAGTTAGATAGACTTAATTTGCATTATACTAATATTCAATTTTTTCTTTTAAATACTATCTTAAGGATCCAACTACTACTAGATGCCAGAATTATCATAACTTTCAAAAGACACTATTGTCATTCTCATGTATGATAAGTATCTAAATTAAATTTATTTACAATATAAATTCATAATTATTGTAACAGCTAAAGCTAAGATTGGCTAAAGTTAAGGTTGAAAGGTCTTTATTTAAATCTATAATACCTATTAAAATTCACTTGTACTCTTTTATTAATAAAACTTTTAAACCCTAATCTAACTTTAAAAAAAACTAACAAAAAATCTCAAAATTTTTAAAATTTAATATTAAAATATTTCAAAATCTCAGTTTTAATTATTAATTGTTTTTTTTTCTTTTTTATTATTATTATTTGTTTAAAACTTGATGTTACAATATATGGAAGAAGGAAACCATGTTAAAGACTTATAGTTAAATGTCTTGCAAGCAATTCATTTTATAATTCAAGACTAGGATGAGGTCAATGCTAAAACTATTTGCAATTGTTGGTGCTATACAAAAATTCTTCTTACTAATATCAATGCAGAGTTAAGAAATATTTTATCAAATGTTTAACAAGAAAATCTAATGCTTGACAATCTTAAAGACACAATACAAGCTCTTAATTACTTTTGCCCTATGATGGTTGAAGAATTTCTTAATATTCCTAAAGAAAATGTAGTCTATGAAGTTCCTAAAGATGACCAAATTATTGATGAACTTGTATATCTTTTCAAAAATACTAAAGAAACTATAGATTTAGATAAAACAGATGACAGTTATAAAATTCTTGTTATTAGTGTTAGCACTGCAGTATTTAGCTTAAAAACCACCCGTAAATTTCTTCTTCAACAAGATAATGCTGAAGAATATATAAAATTAGTAGAAAAGATTGAAAAATTTATTAGAATTAAAAAAATAAGCACAATAGACAAACAAATATTGACATATATTTTAATTAAAATTACTTAAATTTTTTTTATCAAATTATTTAATAAATTCTTTAAAGAGGAATTTACAAATAAGAGCTTAGAAAGTAAATATAATTACAAATACAGGCACAAATTAAAAATAATTACATATAAGGGACCTAATTTTTAAAAAATATTATATATAAAGGCCCAAGTCTATTGATGGCTGAAAAAATGCAATTACTAAACTAATGCTCTATATTGTATTATAACTGTTTGAATTATAATATAACAAAATTGCAATTATAGAATTATTAATTGTTTTATTATAGGATAGAATTATTGATTGTTTTAAGAGTTATCTATTTATCAGATAAAAAGATAAATGAAGTGCTGGCTATAATTATTTTTGCTTAAATATTGTATAAAAAATAGCATTAAAATAGCACAATTATTTATAAAACAATTAAGTTCCAATAGAGTAGCTTTTAAAAGCTGAACTAATATCTTTTATATAAGCAAATATTATGCCAATTTATAGTACTTTACTTAAAATTGTAGGGAATTATTATAACAATAAGCAATTCTATATACAAAAAAAATAAAATTATTAAATTTAACAAATTTTCTTGTTTAAATCATAATTACTAATTTATAATCAATCATTTGTTACATTTTTTATACACTTAATAATTACATTTATCAATGTTTATGTTTCTTATGCCAATAACAATCAAGCCATAGGCTTGAATAACATCACAGTTATTTTGGGCTCTTATATGTAATATATTTTTTTTAAAAATTAGTGCCTTCTATATAATTAGTTTAATTTGGACCCATATTTGTAATTATTTTCACTTTCTGGGCCCTTATTTGTAAATTCTCTTTCTTTAAATCTAAATTATCTATTATAAATATACTTCAAATTTATAATCTACCCAGGATCTAAAAGTTAATTAATTCAGAAGTTAGCAATAGAGTGCATTTTTTTTATAGATCAGAGTAATTTAGTAATCAACAAGGTAAATCATACCTTAGTAAAGTTTTTTTTTTAAACTTGAAAATAGTGATTCAAACAATATACTTACTAGTTTTTTGATTTTTTTTTAAATATAAGGTTATTAAACTAAGTTTTACAATATATTAAACATAGAAAATATATAGAATATATGCGATTACACACTTTGTTTGTAGTTAGTGTTTGTTTTTTATACTGTCTATACCTTTTAAAAGCATATATTATTTTTATTAATATTTGATGATTCTTTTTAATTAATTTATGTTATTTTATGTTTTTATTTGATTACATGATGAAGGTTTTTAACTTATAATTACTGCTTTAATCAGCAATTAATTTTAAAGTAATAGTTGTTATTTCTCTAGAATTGCTTGTTATTTCTCTGTTATTTTTTGTTATTTCCCAAAGTGCACTTTAAATTTTTATATTATAAGATTTGAAAAAAATTCTTTTAGTTTACATAATGGTTTTATCTTTAATGAAAGTTTTAAAATCTGTTAACTATTACAATAATACTACTTAAATGAAGATCTTAAAATTCTTAATAGAATATAATAGTTATTTAGAGCAAAGAACTTTTGTAATTTTTTTAGTCAGCATAATAGTATCATTATAATTAAAGATGAAGTTTTTTAAATTCCTTTAATATGATTGTGTTATTAAAGCAAAAATTAGGTTTGCATTATCTTTCTATAGCCATTTTTTTTGTTGTACTAACTAAAGTTATTTGAGTCAAAAAATGCTATCATGATGTTATATAAAATGAAGAATAACATCTTTATTTCCTGCTGCTGCAGGAAATAAATAGTACTTATTCATTATTTATCTTGTTGTTTTATTATTAAACTATGTACTAGTTAGTAAACAATTTAATTAATAAAGATTATTTATATATATTACAGTATTAAGAGACTGTTAAGCTTCAAAAATTACATTTTTTATTAAATTTAACCAGATGCATATTTGATAATTATTGTCAGAACCAATGCATTAAACTTCATTATTGTAAAATTAAAATTTATAATTTAAAAATATTTTTTTACTAATTTATACATAGTATTTTTTTACTCAAAATTTATTTTTTATTAGCCAATTAGATTTTGTAAAGTCATGAAATGATTTACAAAAATTAGCCAATTGAAATAAAAGTTTTGTATTAAATCTAATTGGCTAATCTCTAAATGCACACCCTATCTAAATGCATATGCATGCCTGGTCTTAAGGGTGTGTACTTATAAAGGTTTTACTGTACAAGTTATATAATTATAATTAAAATACAATAAAGACAATAGTCATTGATAACTACAACCTTAGTATAAGCAAAATATATATATATATATAATTAGTAGCAAGTTTTGAATACTTTTAATAAATTGGCTTTAATTTATATATATTGTTATATAGACTGTATCATCACTTCTAATACATCATATTTTATAAAATAAATTAAAAAGCTTATTAATAATATTAAATCTAATGATTGTTATTTTAA